CCCCAGCTCGCCCCGGGCTCAGAGCTGCTCCGACACCTGGTTTYAATAATAAACGGCGCGGGAAGGGACAAAGGCGCCTTGCGGGAGGGCAGCGGGATGCAGGATGGGGGGCTGGCAGGTGGGGGAGGAGGAGGGCTGCAGGGCTGCGATGAGGGGCTTGCTAAAGGGGAACACCAGCCCAGGAGCTCTGCTGCCCATCACCACTTCTCTCTGAAAAAACACCATTCACAGAACGGGGTTAACTGCAGGCACCGGAAAGCGGGGATTAATGGAAATTGGTTTTAAGAATTTTCCCAGATGGAAGAAACATCTTTTCGTCATCTGTCCTTTGACATTTCAAGACTATTTTGCATCCCCAGCATTTTCTGATTTGGGCTGTGACATTTAAATGGGCAATTTGTGTTTACAGTCTTAGGYGTTGTAAATATCTTACATATAAATGCCTTTGTACGTATAGGAGACATTCTATACATTTCTATCTTTGAAACAAGAGCCGTAAATCTTTACAGGAAAATGTAGATCTCCTGCAAAAGCATTTCTAGCAGCTCTCACAGGGTAGATGAAMATGTAACAGAAATACATGGACTTTTTCAGATKATAGGATTTAGTATTATTTTATCAYGATGTGTAAATATGTCACTTCAAAGTAATGAAAGGCATTAAAAGAAATATTTTGCATGGCTTTTATTCAAGGACTTTCTGACTTGCACTGTCCCCTCCTCCTGGGCATCATCCCCCTCCTGTCACAGGTCCCATGACAAGGATGCAGCAGTGTCAGGGCTGCAGAGCCAAGGTCGTGTCCCAGCAGCTGCAGGGGGATGCAAAGGGACACGGCTCTCCAGCAGGGCTGGCGCGGCCACGACCCCTCCCAGCACACAGGAGGCTTTTGCTGCCCCAAATCTGACCTTCCACGAGGGTCCCACCATCCCAGCAGGACCTGACCGCAGCCAGACCTCACCAGCAGCACCTCTGTCACTTCCCTGTCCATGATAAAAATCCCCTGGGAGGCAAAGGGAGCAAAGGGCTGTGGAAGAAGGCAAAGCCATCGCTGTGCTTGCAGTCCCTCCACAATATGAAATATTTGCAATATCTGATTTTACCCTCCCTGGGGCTGGGGACACCTTTCTCAGGGGAACAGGGGGCTCCTCCACAGTCAGGGATCTCTGCTGTTTATAGGGTGCAGATGCAGTGTGCTTCTCCCTGTGAGAGGGCAGCTTCCATGGCCTGTCCTGGCTCCACAGATTTCAGAGCTGAGGTCTTGGCCAGGTCAGTGCTTGCTGGACTCTGGCCCTTTCATGTGCCTCTTGGGAGGAGCAGAGATGGGAGGTGGTTACAGATGGGGGAGTGACAGTGAGATTTCTCCAACCTAAATTCATGGCATAGACATTATTTATTGAAATAATTCTGATTTCTACTAAGTCTCATTGTAAAGTTTGATTTAAATGTCGAGGCTGTGAAGGCTGGGGACAGCACAGAGCGCTCGGAGGAGGAACCCATCCCACCCATAAACTGCTGAGCACCCCCACCTCCATCTGCTTTGGGGAGTCAACACAGGAGAAGGCTTCCAAGTCATYCAAGAGGCTTCTCTCTTGTCCCCCCTCCCACTCTGCTCACCAGATGATGGAAGGCACAATTTCCCTCTGCAGGGGTTTGCATCCCAGCAATCCCTGCAGCCAGGGCACTGCAGGCAGCAGGGCAGGCAGAGCTGGCTGGGGTGGATGTGCATCCCAGCTGCTGGCACTGCCACCTCATTCCCTGGCAAAAACCCTCCCCAACCCCTCTTCCCAGGGCTGGGGATCTTAAATCAAGTGAGGCACCTAGGGGTAGGCTCCAGTCCCAGTCTGGACAGTGAACAAGGGAAGGGGACCACAGGTCCCTTCTTTCAGTGGCACATCCCCATAATGAGTTAACCCACTGCTTGTGGCCAGCAGCCCCCAAATCTGTGCCAGCCAGGTGAGCCCTGCACCCTGCTGCTGGCATCTCTCCTTCCCTGCATCCCTCCTGCCCACATCTCTCCTTCCCTGCACCCTCCTGGCTGTGGCACAACCAGCAATGCCTGGCCCCACATGAAGAGCAGCCCAGGCACTGCTGGGCTCCATACCCCTCCCGTTCCACATCCATTTCCAGCAGGGATTCACTGGCACATCCCCAACAGCCAAGAGGATACAGGACATGTTGGGACATGGATGTGGGATGTGTCTGGACGAAGATCCAGGACGTGTCAGGGCACCCTGCAGGATGAATCAAGGTGCAGAAAGCAGCCATCAGGGATGGACCCAACCCCTTGTGGAAAGCCAGCCCTCCCCAYGGCCACCATGGTCCTGCCTGCAGGCTGGGGCTGCCAAGGGCTTGGAGCATCCTCATCTCCCCCTCTGGGAACCCCAGGAAGCTGCTGACTCCCACCCACGGTGCCACACAGCTCAGGGAAGCTCAGAGCTGGGCAGAGCTGCCTTGGAGTCTCCAGTGAGTGGCTGCAGGACAAGGCTGCAGCAGGGACAGCCCTGGCCACAACAGGGGGACAGTCCAGGGGCAAGAAGGATTTGAGGCCTGAGCAGGGATGCTTTGGGGTCCCCCTGCTCCTGGGACCCTGCTGGCTGCAGCTGCCCAACCTCTGGCCCTTGCCCAGCCCAGCAAGGATTTTGCCAACTTTGCACATTTTTGGCAGAAGCTAAAAAACATCACTGGTGCCAAGGCTGGYGACAGGGACAGATCCTCCCTCACACAGGGCTCTCTTCTGACCGTGGAAGGGCAGAGACCTTTCTCATCSTGCCGGGCACCCCCATCCTGGCCCTGGCATGGGACTGAGCTGTGCTCGTGACCCTGTTCATTAACAAGCAATTAATTCAGGCCTAAGCTGAGCAGCAGCTGGGCCCACCTGGGGCAGCCCAGGGCCAAGATGGAAAGTTCCTTACACACCATCTGGGGTTGGAGGCCAGCCCCTGACATGGCCCCACTGCTTTGTGGACACGGGGAAGGGAACCACGGTGGGTGCACAGCCTGGACTTGCTCCAGCACGGCCAGGAATGAACAGCCTCCTCTTCTGGGCAAGCAGCTCCACGGTTCCCCCCAGCTCTCCCCCTGCAGCCCCCTCTCCTCCATCCGGCGGCTCCTTCGGCACCACACATCGTTTGTCACTCGGACAGGTTCAAACAAACCCGTCTGGGATTAATTAGGCTCCATCTTCGTTTCCTGCAGCGCTTCGCAGGGGCCGGGCGGCGGAAGGCAGTGGGGAGGCAGCAGACGGGCGGGCAGGCTCGGGCAGGCAGGGTTGGATAATGGGGCAGGGGGAGAAGGTAAGCAGGGATCCCCTGGCCCCCCAAATCACTGCCCCAGTGCTAACGTAGCTGGTGGTGGATGCTGTCCCAGCAAGAGGAGGCTGTGGGTGCTGTGAGCGTGGATGGATCCAGGACTAGAGAGCTGCTGCCACCTCGTGCATGGAAAGCTGCTCCCACACACCTCTTCCTAAACCCTCAAAGATGGGCCCAAAGGCAACCAGGACCCTCAGGGACAGGACTGGATCATGCCAGCGAGGAGAGACAGGCAACAACCAGCAAGTAAAACCAGAGCCCCCCATTTATTAGCAGTTGGTTCAACTGGACCTTACACCAGTGCTTGGGAGCTGCCCCCAGCGCAGCCCCCATGGCCCCACGAGCGGCTGCAGGGGCTCCTGATGAAACACCCGGGCAGGAATGCTGCTGCCAGCAGGGCCCCTCACATGGGGGGTGAACCATCACATCCCCCCATTGCCCTGGCCCCGCTCTGGCAGCATCCCAGGCACTGCTTCCCCCTCCCACAGAACCGCTGCCATCCCACATCCTGCGGGGCAGTTCCATCCAAGAGGAAATGTGGGCCCTTATCCCAGTAAACCCGTGATGGCTCAGTCTCCTCTGCCAACAAAGCCCAGGGCGTGGGAGAGGCTGCAGCTCTGTACAGCACCTCTGGTACAAAGACGTGTCTCCCACTGGGAAGCCGTCCCGTGTCCCCACTGACCTCTGTCCGTGTCACGTGTAACGACCAAAGAGACCACGTAAAACCCTCGGGGTTTAGCTACAAATGCTGGCACTGAAGAAAAACACCTCCCTGCAAAATGGGAACCAAATCAACACCCCCTCCCACCCCCGTAAAACCCAACATTATTAAAATACTTTCGTTTTTAATATTCAAGAGGTTTGAAGTTCTCAGCATCCTTCTGATTGCCGTTATCCCGATGTCTGTGTTGCCCCTGAGCTCTCCTCCATGCCAAGGGCATGCCAGGCACCACTTGGCTTTACCACAGGAAACACCACGTGTGTACAAGATTGCAGGATGGGCTTGGGGGCCACGAGCAAACTGGGACCAGTATGCCCCAACCAGCACACCACCCCCTCCTGCTAGGCCACAGTCCCACCACGCTGCCCATGGAGGGGGAGGCAGAGGCTGAGGAGTTTGAAAATGGTGACAGAGATGACAAAAGAAATTGTGCCCCAGTCTTTGAAAGAAAAATCCATTTTGTTCTCAGTTTTTCCAAATAAGTGCTGGGGAAATCCAGCAAACTCTCCTGTTTCCTGCCATGGGGCTGATGGCAGGGATGGGTCTGGGTTCCTCCATGCTTTGGGACTCCACCAGCTCCATCCCTCTGCTCCAGCTCAGCAAAGCCACCACCAGCACACCCAGAATGGCTCCTGCATCCTCAGACCTGGAGGTGAGGGACAGCTCTGGTGCTGCTCTTGGGCCCAAGGCAGTTGGAATCCATTTTGAGCAGAGAAAGGGCAAATTTGTGCCACTTCCCTATGCCAGAGCAAGGTGAGAAGGGACCAGGAATTAAAAAGGAAAAACAAAATGAAAGAGATACAGGTGTGGGACAGGCAGAGAGGTGGGAACATAGGGATTGCAGAGTCAGATCACTGCTCAGGCAGCCTCCAGTGGAGCCCTGTGCTCCTGGGGGTCCTCTCCAAGCCTCTGGTGTGGCCATACACTCCTGGGGGTCCCCTCCAAGCCTCCAGTGATGCTGTGTGCTCCTGGGGGTCCCCTCCAAGCCTCCAGTGATGCTGTGTGCTCCTGGGGACCCCTCCAAGGTCGGGTATTGCTGAGAAGGTCCCACCGGCGCAGGGTCACCCCCGGTTGCTGGGGGGTGGCAGCAGCAGCAGCTACCTGGTGCTCTGCAGCTCCTCCCGCAGCCAGGTGGGCAGAGTCTGCCCCATTTTGTACAGSAGCTTGGAGAGCTCTATGTTATGGTCCCTGTAATAGTCCCGCAGGAAGGCGCGTGACTGCAACRGGAGAGCAGAGAGAAGGGTCAGGGGAGCCAGCCCAGAGCCCACCACCCCAGCATAGCCCTGCTCAGGACCAGCACAGGAGSTTTTCTGCATACTCACATCTGAATCCATCTCGGGGTACTTCCTCCCTTTGCTCTTTCCCAAGCATTTTGTTTTCCCTCCATCCAGAAGCTGACACCAGAATCCTTTCTTTGGATCAAACCTGTGAAGACAGCTCTGCCTCAATCCTCCTACACTCCCCACACCTTCCACAGGCATCCTGCCCAGCAAATCCCRTTGTTGTACAACCCTGCACAGGGCACTTCTCCACCTCTGGAACCCACAGCCCAGCTAACATGTTGTTATCAACCCCCCTGATACCACAGGTTCCCCCTGCAGCTGCACAATAAACAGCCCATCGAAGCTCATTCATCGCCCTGCTGAGGGAGCACAGAGTCTACCTGGGTTTAATCACCATTTTCTGTGGCACTTTTGTCCCTGGATGCCCTCACAAGTGCCCCACAGCACCTGGATGGACACATATATAGGCAAGCCCTAGCAGAGGTAAATTATTATTTCTCTAGGAGCTCCCACAGTGGGGTTTAATGGAAGGCTCAGAGCAAGGTGACACCTGCAGAGGTGCCACACAGCCAGCAGCTGCTCTCACGCATGTACAAGCAGATGGAGTGCCAGGGCTCAAAGCCATCATCTGTGCTACAAATGCACTCATGCACTCAGCTCCAGGAGCCCAGGGCTGCACTTGGGCTGTCTGCAGTGACCCCACTGTGGTGTCTGGATAAGTCTCAGGGAAAAGCCTGGCCTGATCAAAATCAACAGCAGCTCTGTGGAGAGGCCCAGGACTGGGGGCTGCTTGGGGAGAGTGCTGGGTGTCCCCAGGGCAGCCCTCTGCATGGCAGCAGTGTGAAGTGTGAATGGCAGGGTGAAGGAAGAAGTTTGGGGAAGAACTCACGCCAAGGTCTTGTGATAATCGATGAAGTTGGTGACGCTGAGGAATTTCTGGACCACCTCCATCACTTTGGCGGGTTCTGTTCGGAGCAGCTTGCCATCCAGCACCAGGATCTGCAAGGAGCAAGGCAGGGTGGGGAGGTGTCACTGGCTCCCAGCCCTGCTCTCCTGAGGTACAGACACCTTTACCACACCTTCAGTCATCTCAAGCTAAATCTGACACCTATGCAGGGATCCCCACTAAATATCAATGTGCCCTGGATCTCCCTTACACTGGATGGAGGAAAATGAAATTACACTAAAAGCCAGGGCAGGACAACATCAGAGCTTCTGCTCAGGGCTACCCATCCCATAGCCAGCTGGGAATGCAACACAGCAATTACACCAGCAGCAGGCAGCTAATAAGGCTTTATAAGGTTAATCAACAGTGGAAAAATCATTCAGGGATTGATCYTGTACACCCCAGCAGTGCTGCACTGTGTGGGTCACAGCAGGGTTGGCATCCAGCTCCCATTTTCCCTGCAGACAGCTCAAACCATGGGCAGCTCCACCTGCTATTTTTGTCCTGTTCAATGCCATAGTGACACCAGACAGGGCAGCCCCAGGGGTGTCTGTGGCCAAGAGGGTGAGCGTTGGGTGACCACGCAGAGCCACCCACAGCCCTCTGCCCCCACTCCCTTTCAACCCTGCTGTGACACCCTGGGTTAATCCACCACCAGGTTCCCTTCTTGAACAGCAACTCCCCTCTGCCCCTCCTCCAAGTACTTTTACACTTTCCCCTTTGTTTTTCAGGGTGTAAGAAAAACAGCTCCCATGGGAGCAACTCCACAGCGGACCGTGGATCCACGATCTCTTTCCCCCACATCCTTGGTTGGGTCTCCCCGTCACTGGCACTGTAGGATTGGGGTGCTGCCATCCCTACCTGGTTGGCGTGGTAGCTGTTGAGCCAGCGCTCGATGTGGGTGGCGTACCAGCCCGGCACCAGGCAGCGGTTCTGCAGCGTCCGCAGCTTCGGGGCGGCCTCGGGCCCTGCAGTGATCACCTCGTGGAAGGTGTATTTCAGGGCAACCGGGTCATCGTGAGCTCGCTGGTGCTGTGAGGCAGCAATGAGGCAGGTTTGTCCCAGGGTAACTCAAATCCTGGGCTGCCCACAAGGTGCAGTGGCTCCCAGGCCACCATGACGTGTCCTCATGCATCGTGTTCAGCCACCGAGCGTGGCATCCACAGCCACCCCACATCCCAAACCAAGCCCCTTGCTCACCATCGCTCAGGACTGCCCAGTCCAGGGGACAGGCAGAGGCTCACCTGATACCAGGAGTAGGCTCGATCTGCAGGGTTGATGAGGATGGTGATGATTTTGGCCTTGGACAGTAGCGCTGCAGCTCGCCGGGGAGCCACTTCAGAGTCAAAGTAGTTGGCACTTTTCTCAAAGTAGAAGTCAGAGGTGGTGTTGGAGGGGATGGGGAAGAATTCCATGTACCTGGGGGAGGCACAGTGTGATGCTGGCAGACAGGCACCACAAGATGTCCCCAGCACTGCCCTCACCAGTGACATCTCACACACTCAGATGGGAAACCCCACAGCACCACTGCTCCCCTTCCCAAAGTCATYAGCACCCCCAGCACAGTCCCCACAGTGCAGAGACCCACCAGTCGATGCCCTTGTGATAGTTGTGTCCATTGAAGAACTGTATCTCCTCRAAGGTCTCTGAGCTGGGGTAGTTGCTGCTCAGGTCCGGGTGCATCCCCAGGAAGAGATAAAGGGCGGTTGTTCCTTTGGACAGACAGAAACCAGAGCTGACATGGGCCAAATCTCCCTCCAAGCTCTGCTCTGGGGCAGGAGGGCTGACAGAGGCTCTTTGGGAGTGGGGAGGTCCTGTCAAGCCTCTCAGCATGCTCACAGCACTGAGGGTGAAGGAAAGCACCTGTTTTTTGAGGCCCAATGATGAGAAGCTTCGGGAATCGGTCACAGGTCTTTTCTTTGGACCAAATGTCTTTGTGTCGTTTATCTTCACATGGATCCTGAAACACAGCATGGAGGATCAGAAACAGAGAGGCCTGGATGGGACCCCACACCACTGCTCAGCCCTTCTGCCTGAGCAGACACACGGGGAGGACACACTGCTCAGCAGGCAGGACAAAGACTGGGCTTATCTCCAGGTCTGCAGGGCAAAACCCCTTCTGGCACTGCCTGCAGAACCAGAGAGAGGTGAAAAAACCCTGTTTAACCAGGGAATCAGAGGGAAATCCATGCTGGAAGCTACCTGAGGCTCAGAGCAGGGCCAGCTATACCTCACTACCCTCTCCAGCACAATAAACAGGGTCATTCCCCCTATTCAAGGCACAAGGGTACCTGCCACAACGGGTCCTTCTCCTCAGAAAAGATCTGGAAGTATTTCTGTGCCAGCTGCACAGGGGGCAATGTCTGCAGCTTCAGGTTGGTCCAGGAGTTGAGGAAGTGGACCAGGTGCTTGAAGGTGTACAAGCCCAGGCGGTCGTTGCCGTAGTTGGACAGATGGGTCATGAAGATGCTGATCTGAAGCCAAGAGGACAGAGCAGGGGTTGGTGGAGCCTCAACCAGCAGCCATCCCACACAAACACCTCCCACCCTGGCTGAGGATATCAGGAACATCTCCCACAGCAGTGCCAGGACAGCTCTGCAAGACACCTGTCTGTCTGTCCCCAGGCAGCACTTACGGGGTTGAGGAGCACGGTCAGGAACAGTTCACCCCCGTTGATGATTTTGTCCAGCTCACTGGAGCCACCAGGGTATTCATTGTAGAAAATGGTGTGYGTGAAGAGGCCACAGGTTTGCCTGGGGAGTACCTGGGGCAGGAAAAAAGATATGGATGGAACAGGTGGAAGAGCCAGGGCAATGAAACAGCCTCATGGCTTTCTCCAGGCTTTGAGAGCTAGGATTCCTTCCCTTCCCAACAAAAAGGGGAAACCTGACCCCTCAACCTGTCGGAGGTCAGGACCAGTTCCACTGCCCCTCACCACCCTTGATTTGATTCCATACACTGAAGGGAAGAATGTGCACAGATGGAAAAGCCAAAAATTGTCCTCACACAAGCTTCACCTATACAGGATGAGAATAGGGGCACAACCCCCTCAAACTGAAGCTGTGCAGATACCACGTGCTGAGGTTCTGGTTCTGGTGGGGGAGGCAGGAGAGAAGCACCAGAGACAAAGCCCAGCACCCACCATGATGCCATTGTGGATGAAGCCGCGGCGGTAGCGAGCGGGTTTCAGGTGTGGATATTCCTCCGTGCTCGTCACCCTGATGGACCARACCTGCTTCCAAGCCTCGTACAACTGCACGTGGACAGGGTACACGCCCGAGTGGTGGGGGGCCACAGCGTACCCCATGTCAGTGGGGATGCCATGCTCCTGCAGAGAAGAGAGTGGGCAATGGGTGACTGTGGAGACCCCAAAACCACAAACCAACCTCTCTCCATTCCCAGCTACAAGCTGTCTAGTTGTGCCTCTGGAGAGCAACCAAGGCAAGGCTGTGCCTCTGCACACTCTCTAAGCCTAGCTGTCTCCAGGAAAGGAACCCAGGAGCAGCCATGCTGGGTGGACACCCACTCCTTTGCTTCACTCACACCATCCTCACCCCATCTTCTGCTGTCACCCACAGAACAGCCACAGCAAAGCTGCTCTAAGAAGAATGAGGAGATACAGCTATACAGGACTGTAAATTTGTTTGCTCTCAGTAGACACAAAACAGCCTGGAAATTCTGAGCTGGAACACTGCCCATCCTAAGTAGGAAAGGTCTGGWTTCTCTCTAATTAAGCACTTGCAATTATCAGATAATAAATTCAAGTTAGTTTGAAGATCCCTCTTTTAGGCCATACCATCCAATTATTATTAATAGGTCAGGCTTTACCAGTTGGAATTCAAGACAGCTCTCAGTCAATCACGTGAACTGGTGTCACTGCCAGACAAAGGACAGCCCGAGTGGATGGACAACCCCTGACCAAGCTGAAGGTCAGAGCCTGCCTTTACAACCAAACATGAACTTGACAGTTCAGCCTGCAGAGGGAGTTTCCATCAGCCGGAGCCTCCCAGCACAGCCACCGCTCCAGGATCCCACATCATCACCCAGCACTGCATCACACGGTGCCAGGCAGAGAGCATCCCCCTAAGCTGCATCCCTACATCCCCATGGTGCCAGGCCAGGTGGGCACAGCTGCAGGGCACAGACAGTGTCTCCCTTGAACAGCCACCGGGGCAGCTCACTGCCACAGCAACAAGTTGGCTGCTGCAGATAAATCCTATAGTTCCAAGTACTAGAGTATAAATGGATTTACCTACATAGCTGCAACATGGAGAACATGACTTMATGTCACCAGCTCCCTCTGCTCCAGCAAGCAGAGACCATCCCCTGGGAATCTTTTCTGCTCCCCTTTTCCCATCCACCCCTCACCACAAGCAACCCCACTGGCAGCATCTTACTCACGACAGCGAATTTCTTGTTTAAGGTCATCTGCTCAGCRAGAACCGACTGGTTGTGGAAGAGGTGAGGCTGCATGTGGCTCCACATGTGAGGGAACCACCAGAACTCCTTCACRTAGGACAGCAGCAGGTCATCACCTTCGTCCTCAGCATCGGTACCTGCAGCATGACACTTGCTATCACCACTGAGCACGGAGAGCTGTGTGAGCAGCTGGGCCAGAGGGAGAGGCAACCCCTCTTGGTGTCCAGATGGTGCAAGAATAGGGTGGGATGCCTGAGGACACTCCTACAGGCCCGAGAGCACCCTCTTTGAGCATCACTTTGTGCCCCAGTGCAGCTGTACAGCACCCACAGGAGAAGCAATGCCCCTGACCTTCTCACCTGTGTGGAAGAATTTCCCTGAGTATCCCAGGTTGAARGTGAAGTTCGGGATGTGGGTGCGCAGCTCATTCTGTGTGTCAAACAGTGCCTGGGGGAAGGGGAGAGAAAGCAAGGTGTCCTCAGCAGGTGGCCTCAGGGATGGCTGCCACATCACGGCAAGCACCCACGCCTCTGAGAGCTCCGCAGAGGGGCTCCCAGAGGGACAGGGGAGCCTGTGAGGGCAGGAGAGTTCACCTCTGGAGCATCCCTGAGCAAGCACCAGTATCCAGCCCTGCCCACCCAGCCAGGAGAGCACAGACACACCTTGACATCTTCCACTTTCATGCGTGTGCCCTCTTTGCCCACAAAGATGTCATCGATGTCCACCAGGATGTAGCGGTCAAGGGGCAGGGACAACCTCTTGCCCGTCAGGAAGGAGACAGAGTCCACAAAGACCAACTTGTGCAGCCAGAAGTTGAGGTTGTTGCCGAAAAGCACCCTCTGGATGCCRTCGTGGAGGCCCAGGTCCTGCATCACAGTGGTGTGCAGCGCAGCGTCCACGCTCATGTGCGGGATGGACTCGGCTGACTTGGTCTTGGCCAGGAGGACGGGCTCATAGGTGGAGTGGTTGGACTGGAAGACAGTCCAGTCCTCTCCGGGGAGCACACCCTTCTCCACCTCACTGGGGCGTGTGATGTAGAGCAGGGGCGACTTGGGGTTGATGCTGCAATCCTTCAGCGCCAGGTTGGAGTGCAGGAACAGGGGGAAGCCCTTCAGCTGGGCACTCAGAAGGCTGTTCTCGTTGGCCTGCATGGGGTAAAGGGGAGCTAGAGGAGATGGAACACTGAGGATGAGGCAGGGACTCATCAGGGACACCAACAGCCATGGCAACAGAGGCACCATTCCAGGTGATCTGGGTTTGGGGTCCCCTGCTTCCTCTCTGGAGCATGGGGGGCCCTCATCCCCATCATATATTTAATCCTGCTCATGTCCAATGTGCAAAGTGTCCCAAGGCTGGGAGCCCTGGGCAGGAGATGGGCTGCTGAGCAAAGCACCAGCTCATGATTTTGGCAAATCCTGGCAAGGGTTTGCTGGGATACAAGTGCTAAAAGCAACTGGACTGATCCCAGAAGGGGATCCCATAGGTCTTTACTCTCAAAACCCCCCAAGGCCAAATACCCCTTCCACAAGGAGAGAGCTAAGACAGTGCTACTACTAGAAGCCTGTRGCTGTTCCAGGCTGTAGCCTGACCCCATACCAACTCAAGATCTTTGCAGAAACCATGAGGAGGGCAAAGTGTCTGTGGGGCAGCAGGACCCCAGAGCCCCCTGGCTCACATCTGGCCCAGCCATGGGGTCTTGGTTTGCCCCATGCACCCCCTTACCTTGAAGAAGCCGATGATGCCCACGCCATACTCCACACAGTACTTGTCCAGCAGCTCCCGGTTCCAGGCGTCCAGGTTGACATACTTGAGGATGTTCTCGTAGATGATGAGCGCAAAGCGTCCCCGGTCCTTGTCGGTCAGCGTGGGCATGTCCCCCTTCCCCGGGGCAATCTCTGTCCTGTATTTGAAGCGACTCGACTCCAAAATGGCCACGATCTCCTGGCCCAGCTGGGAGTAGAGGCTCTCCACGAAGACCAGCACCAAGGGGTCTGTGCGGGAGGAGTCAGCCACCTTGAGGGTCTTCAGTGGCAGCAAGCGAGAAGGGGCGACCTTGGGCTCGTCGCAGTCCGGCCCGGCCACGTCCCCAGAGGGCTCCAAGCCCCTTTTCCACCCATATAAATAATAAGCAGAGACGAAAACACTGAGCAGGCAGAAGGCAAAGAGCAGGAGCAACACCACCTGTGGAGAGAGCTGCCAGATACCCCGCCGGGCCCTGGCCAGCACAGTCATCCTTGCATCCGCTGGGCGAGGTGGGGCCCCTCTCCCCTGCCCGCCCCCTCCCCTCACAAGCCCCGGGGAGGGGAAGAAGCAACCAACCAAACAACGAAAAGTTACGTAAAATCAAATTGAATACTACTAATAAATTAAAATACTAGCAGGCCGCCTGTGCAGGCTCTCTCCCCTCCAGCAGTCGAGCGTCCCTCGCTGTCAGCTTCATGTCACCATGGCAGAGGCACCGAGAGTCCCCTYGCTGAGCCGAAATTCCTGTGGTGATGGCAGTGGCAGCAGCAGCAGCTCCATGGCCTCAGCAGGGCGAGGGGGCAGCGGGCAGCCTCAGAGTGGTTCGTGGTGGGAATGTGGGCATGGTGGATCCCTGGTTCTTCAGCTCCACACGGCGCCCTGCAAGAGAGAGGTGGGATGAGAGGGCAGGGATGGTGCCAACRCTGCTGCTGTTAATTCTGCCAGCATGACAGCCCCGTCAGAGCTCTCACAAGCTCACCAGCATGCCAGGGCTTGCTGCAAGAATGCTGTGAGCTCCTGCCAGTGCCAGTGACGTCTTGCACAGCCGTGCCATGGGATCCTGGCTGTGGCTGCTCCTGGAGCGCAGGTGCATCTCCAGGTGCTATGGAGGAGCACCCCCAGCCCCCTGTGCATCCCTGGTACCTCAAACAGCTGGAGAAGCAGCCCCGTTCCTCCCATGTGCCCAGCAGGAGCCACACTGTGCCGAGGAGACAGGGCTGAGAGGATCTTAGTCCCCCATGGCCCAGCTCAGCTGACAGAGAGGGACACAGGAGGGACATGGGCAGCCAGCCAGCTGGGCTGCTCAAGGCCGAGCCAGGAGCTGCCAGCCAAGGTCACTGAGATGGACAGGCAGGAGTGTCCACATGGACCCAAAGGGACCTTGGGAATGTTTTTCCCTTCCTTTTGAAAGGCTCGTTTGAAAAAAGAAAAGGAAAACAATGAGCACTGCTTGCCAGGAGGTGAAGCAACCCAGGGCACACACTGATATGGCCAATATGTTATGGAAAAAGAAGTGGCTTTGCAGCACTGTCCCCAAACTCACCCCCAGTGCTGGGGACAAGGGCAGGAGTCCCTGCTCCTCCCAGGGASAGTTCCCTGTGCCCTGCTATCACTGTGGCTGAGCACCCTTCCTGCTGACACCAGCCRGGCTCCTAACAGGATTAAACGTGGCCGGCTGAGCGGTGCTGTGGATTACAGGCTGGGGCTTGGCAGGGTAATCCTGTCATCCCTGCCCTTCCCAGCAGCAAGTCCTGCTCCAGGCAGCACTTCCCAACCCTGCCAACATGGCACTGCTTCAGCCAGGYCCCCATAGGTGTTGTTGGCAGTCAGTCTCCTTCCAGCCTCCATCACTGTCTCCTCCTTCACTATCTCCACAACACACCAGCAACCTCCCCTTGTGGCTGTGAAAGGCACGGTGGAGTATCTGGGTTTATTGATTTGTAATTTATCTTTGTGCACATGGATGATCTGCAGGCAAGACCAAGAGAGGATGCATCTTCTGTCCTCAGCCCTTCCGAGGCGTGCCCTGCCTCACCCCTGCCCCTCCAGCATCCCAGGGACAACAACCCCACTGGGGTTTTGGGACAGGCCACTTCTCCAGGGCTGTTGATTTTAGGGATGTGCTTATGCAGAGCGAGGCTCCCCTGCCTGTTTACCATCCCTCAGGATACAGAGAGCTGGGAATGAATTATCCAGCATCCTGGCCATACCATTCCAGTCCCGCTGTTTCTTTCATCTGCCAGGAGTGGTGGGTGCTGGCAGCAGCATTCCTGCAGCGATGGGCGGCCAAATGACAGCATTACATTTGATGCCAAGCACCAGAGGCAGCAGCTGATGGGCAGGACCATGTGTCCATCCTTGCATCAGCCTCCATGAGACAGGGAATAAAGCTCTCCAGCTACATCACCTGCCATTTCTAAGGGTGCTTCATAAGTCCATTCTCTTGTAAGAGCTGTTAATTACATACTTAATGASCAGGCTTTGGAGACAGCACCTCCGGCCAGACGCCGGCTGAGTCTCGCCCGGCTGCCAGGGCAAAGCCTGCCCGGGCAGGGGGCTGGCACCRGACCCCCAGAACAGCCAGGTGTGAGCCAGGACTGGGACACCGCCCCAAGCACTGCCAGTGTGGCAGAAAGCAGGCAGGAATCCTGCTCTGCCGGTTCACTGCCAGAGCAATCCTTCCATGGGGATGATGCCAAGGGCTTTGGGGCGATGCTGCAGGGTGGGGATGCTCCTGCCCAGGGCTTTCCCCATGCGTGTTTGCTGCATCCTGCCCAGCAAACCCCTGCACATCCTCAGCAGTGGTGGGAGAGCTGACAGCTCCTTGTCACAGAAGGAAGCGGGTTCAGGCCCAAAAGCACAAAAAAAAGTCCTTTAGACCAACGGCTTTTCTAAAACAAAAAAGGAAACAAGATGGTAAAATTTAAAAAAACCACAAGACCTGCCAAGGTGACAGCCAGGGTCAAACTTCCTTTTAACCTGATTTTTAGACACTGCTCAGGTGTCTTTTAAAACCACCATGGTTATTTAAAAGGCACCATCTGGAAGTGTCAGCCTGAGTCCCACACACAGATCTCAGGCCCCCAGAAACGCTGCTGGCAGGCTCCCACCACCAGACAGGTACTCAACCACAGCCTCACATCAAGGACCCCGGGAGAAAGAGCCCTGGAAAATGCTCTTTTCTCGTGGGTTTCGGAGCAATGCCCTGGCACAGACTCCACTGGAGAGGAGGCTCAGTGAGGAGGCTTAGCTGCCATGCTCTTAATCCGGCTGCCCTGACAAACACAATCAGCATCCAAGCAGCTTCCCGGCGTGGCTGGGAGCCCAGAGCACCCTGTGGAGCCAGATCCGACCCCAGGACAGGCAGGGAAYGTAACTGGGGGACAGGGAACCCCTTCACTATCAGCACTTCAAATCTAAGACAGCTGCAGGAGGAAGGGAAAAATAGTTGAAAAGCTCTCCTCAACTCACCACCCCAGTGCAGTTTGGGGAATGATGGTTTCCCCCTGCCCAGAGTTACTTTCCACAAACACTCCCTGGGGAATCATTGCACCCCAGAAAGAAAGGGAGGCACTGGATAGGATAAAAGGGAATGAAACCATCTCCATTAGAGGCTTACAGCACTCTTCCTTTAAATACCAGTGAGATTTTGCAGGGATGCAATGGGAGGATTAAATAAGCAAGGAAGTGCAAGCAGATCCAGAGGAGAGGGAAGGGTCAGTGATCCCAGAAGACAACCACAGCAGGGTTTGATTTATTGTGGGATGGAATAGGTCTGGCTGCAGGTGCACCAAGTGAAGATCAGGCASTTCACAAGTCCCATCTGTTGGATAAATCAACTGTCCTAAGCCTGTGGCCCAGGGATGGGAGATGAACTCAAAACCACGGGTGTGACAGAACAAGAAATTGCTCACACATTTCCCCTGCACCACTTTGGAAAGGGCTGCAAAGGAGGAGCAGGCATCCACCTTCACGCAGAAGACACTCCAACATTTTGTGCAAGAACCCTGACCCCTGACTCCAGCAGCTCCCAMCCTCCAAGAGACAAAGCCACATCCTAAACATCMCAGCCAGATGGGTCACCCTGCTCYTTTCCTGYTGGCACCCTTTGGGTGGGCACTCCTGCTCCTCACTCYTCATCACTGCAGGGAGAGAYCCACCACTGCTGGGTAATCACCTYGTCACCACCATGCCAGCTCCACTTSTCCATGTAAGCCAGCCCTGGGGGTTAAGCATGGATGGAGGAGGATTTAGAGGCAGGATGCTAAATTGCATTGCACAGCTCAGCGATTTGCAATCACTCCTGCTCACTCCAACACTTCCCTTGCTCTATCTGACCACGGTGGGGAATGTGGATGGATCAGCCCCACCTACACATCTGCTGCATCTCCCATCTGAAGGCTAAAGGCTCCTGGAAGGTCTAAATTTGGCCAGGCCTGGGCCCCCAGCAGGGGAGAGCACACATCCCATCCCTTCTGTGTCTCTCCCTCACCTCACACACGCTCACCAGCATCCCCAGCGATCACCAACTGGTGCCCTGCAGCCCTGGGAATCAACACTACCTGCAAAAGATGCACAAAAGGCAGCCAAATTATTATTAATAGGTTTAAGTTCCCTCTAGAGGGAATCCCCTTCAYTCACTGGTAATATTTAGAGGGCTACAGATCTAAAACCACTGAGCTAAGCAYGTCCTTAGAGAGGAGATTAATGCCATCACATTATTCAAGAGACAACTGCAAGCTCAAGACAGGGGAGGTTGCTTTGAAAATGAAAAAGTAACTGGCACGAAAAAAATGGCCTTTAAACACCCACCTCTGCACCACTGCCTTTATCAGCTCTAAATGACAGTGATCCCAGCTAGGACTGGAAATACCTGCTGAGAGCTAAAAGCACAGGCAAGGAAAAAGAGCTATGTCAGGCTGCGAAGGACCACTGTCTGCCCCTGTCCCCATCTGCTCCCTCCTCAGCCAGGGCTGAATCCACTGACAGAGAGAAGGCACAATCAGGAGATGATCTCCCGCACTGTGGTGTGATGATCCTATCAGGATGCTCCAGGAGCTGGAACAGAAGCCCTGTGCCACAGGAGACAAAGCCACAGCAGCCCAGGAAGAGGARATCAGCATGAAAAGTTCAGCAAAACCAAGAGATCTTCCTGCTGATCCCCATGTCCTGACAGCCTGGGTGAGCCTTTACGATGAGCCCAAGAGATTTGGACAGAGGGATGGGCTGTTTGGACATTCATCCACCTCRTGCCAGAATGTACAGCCAGGGGAGAGGGATGTGGAGCAGACAGAGAGGGGAAAACACACAGAAGAACACAGAGGAGCAGAAAGGAGCTTGTCTCAGTCACCCACTCACTGGAGGTTTTGTAATGCCAGATAAGGAGGTCTTAGTGGTAGATTACATAGGCTGCTTAAGCACTTTGCAAACAGTAGTTACAACCTGCCAGGGAAAAAAACATCCTCCTCTGGGGGAGGGACAATSCCAGTGCTGCTTTCCTGAGGAACACCAGCCTTCCCCCAGTGCCCAAGAGGTGCCAAGGTACAGAAGGACAAGGGCAGCCCCAGCAGCTGACCTAGGGACAGGCAGGGTCAGGAGGCCCCTGGTGCTGCTCCCACTGCAAACCCACCTGTCTCAGCTTCTCCCCACCATGCACASGCTGGATACAACCAAACCAAAGGGAGTACCAGGAAAACTCATCCATGATTTATAAGGTCTGGAGAATTTCCACCCCAGAAGGACTTCAGCAGGAAAATCCCCCCTTTTTCTCAGCTCTTTTTTTTTAGTATCTGATTTATAGAGCCCAGCCAGAAATAAGCAGTTGGAGCATTCACCTGGATTGCTGAACCAAGCTTCCCCCTGACACCTCACTCCCCTCT